CTCATGATGGGAGGACCAAAAGGGGATCTGAAAAGCTGGCCAACGGCACCCAGTCTAAAGAGTCTGGATTCCTGGTGAGTGGAGCCCCTGGCTTTGACATGCCATTTCTCTCAGTGCTCTGCTGAGTTTCCCAACTCTACTCAGCCCAGACCAAAGAAAGCCTATGCTTTCTAGGTACCACTGTGTTCCAGATCATGCAATCAAACGGGAGATGGTCAGAAGTGCCAGTGTGGCCCAACCCTCTAGAGAGGGCCTGGTGATAGCAGGAGACTGGATGGGGTGGGGGTAGGAAAGCTGTCCAGTCAATCTTGGTATAATCCCAACAAAGAAACTGTGACATATATGTGTGTGTGCCTCTGATGCATATATGAAGAATGGCTGCAAAACTCCATGGCTACTTAAGAGTCACTGCCAAGATAAGAAGCTTTAACTCACACAGAGAGGAGCAGAGAACACAGACATTCCACTGTAGACGACAAGCTGCTAAGCACCGGCAACACTCATTCATTCAACTCAAGAAATGTTTGCTGATGACTTAGGGACTCAGAAGAAAGGAGGCTCAATAAAATGCAGGACACACGGACACACATACCAGGACCATCATCAACCTAGCTGACGCTTCCCACATCTTCAGGGGACCAGGCCAGAGAAATAAGGAGCTTGATGGAAAGAAACAATACTCTAGCTGGCCTCCAAAAGCTTCCCAGGACAAAGAGCCTATTCCAAATGCTCTTTCTAACATCCTGCTCTGTCTTTTAGTGTGGACTCAAATATTCTCCTAGACCTCCAGGAAAAGTTCCCAAGCAGTGACTTCCCACTGTTCAGAATTCAAGAATAAAATCCAAACTCCTTACCGTGGCCACAAATTTGGCCCCTGCTGACTCATCACTAACCACACTCCAGCCCCTCTGAGCTGATTATTCTTGCAGTTCTCTCTGTCCACAAAGCTGTCCTTCTGGATCATCATGCAGGTCTCCCAAAAGCCACCTTTTCAGAGCTAGCTAAAGCTATGACCCTAACCCTCATCCCAGCCACTTTCCATCTTCTGTTTTATTTTCCCCCATATCTCACCCTACATTCTTTTGTTGACTCGTTTATTTGTTTACTATCTGTCTCTCCCACTAGAAGATAAACTTCATTAGAGTACGCATTTTGATCTTGTTCTTGGCTATGTCCATAGCACCTGCAACAGTGCCTAGCACACAGACGCTCAATAAGTCATTCAAGTATTTTCAAAATACTACAAAATTTAGGTACCAGATTTTAAGAGTAGACAAAAAGAGACAAAAATCACTGCATAAGCTGGTGGGAGGTAAGAAGCAGATAAACAGGCTGGGCATGGTGGCTCATGCCTGTAATCCCAACACTTTGGAGGCTGAGGCAGGCAGATCATGATGTCAGGAGTTTGAGACCAGCCTGACCTACATTGTGAAACACCGTCTCTACTAAAAATGCAAAAATTATCCAGGCGTGGTGGTGCATGCCTGTAATGCCAGCTACAAGGAGGCTGAGGCAGGAGAACTGCTTGAACCTGGAAGGCAGAGGTTGCAGTGGTCAAGATCATGCCACTGAACTCCAGCATGAGCAACAAAGTGAGACTCCGTCTCAAAAAAAAAAAAAAAAAAGCAGATAAACAAAGGCAAAATAATAGTTAATACTTCAATTTATATACTAAGTGCCAGGTGCTCTTCTGAGTATCTACTAGGTATTAATTTAATCCAACAACTCCATGAGAAAAATATTACTATTGCACATATGGGGAAACTGAGACACAGAGAGATTAAGTTACCTGCTGAAGATCATGCAGCTCATGATGACAGAACCAAGATCCAAACCTGATAGTCTTGGTACAAAGTCCATGGTCTAATTAAGAGCTACACTTCATATTTGCTGAGTGTCAAATAACTACTTGGTCAGCACCTGTAGCAGCTGTTCCCAGTAGGCAGGGATGGAGAGAAAGCAGACCCATCAAGGAAGGACCGCCCTGTCCTGTGAGCACTGTGAACAAGAGACTGCTGGCTTTACACTATGTTGATCCTGGATGAGGAGTCTACAAGAAGCACCATCTGATGAAAAGGCAGGGGCAGGACTTCTGGTGCCATGAGATACCAGGCAAGTTAACCAATATTTGGAGAGTTTAGATTTTGTGCAAGGCACTGATCTAGACACTGTGGTGGATGCAAAGACAAACCCAGTAGAGATCTGGTCTCAGAAAGCTTAGAGTCACATGTGTACACATGGAGCTGAAACGGGGTAGAAACTGACAGGCATCATAAGAAAATGCATAAACTGCTATAAGACATCAAAAGAGCCAGCTTCTAGGGGCCACAGATGCTTAACCATAAAAGAAGGGGCTGGCCTATGTAACTCCCAAGGTCCTCTCATTCTGACATGTTCTGAAAGCACAGATTTGGAGCAGCATGGAGATCAAGTTTTATTCCGTTTGTTGTTGTTGTTGTTGTTGTTGTTGAGATGGCAGCCTGGGTGACAGATCTTCCTCTGTCACCCAGGCTGGAGTACAACGATCTCAGCTCACTGCAATATCCACTTCCCAGGTTCAAGCGATTCTCCTGCCTCAGCCTCCCAAGTAGCTGGGATGACAGGCACCCGCCACCATGCCCGGCTACGTTTTGTATTTTTAGTTGAGATGGGTTTTCACCATGTTGGCCAGGCTGGTCTCCAACTCCTGATCTCAGGTGATCTGCCAGGCTTGGCCTCCCAAGGTGCTGGGATTACAGCTGTGAGCCACTGCACCCGGCCTTATTCTCAAGTTTGTGGCCACTGAGTTGTTCTCCCACCTATCATGAGAACAGGCCCAATTTCTTGGTGCAACATCTTCCAACAGAGGCAGTAATGTTCCCATTTAAATAACACAACCTGATGTGGGAATGAAGCCCAGTATATTCTGCCCTCCTCCACCTCTAACTGGTTTTTAAACCCACAAACCCTCTCCAATCAAGGAGGAAGGGACCTGTTCTATGAGCATGTTGTTATGGGACATCTAAATCTTAGTCTCCAAAGTTTTACTTTGCAGCTTTTCCAGAGGGAACAGACTGGCTCCACCTCTTCATTTCCATGGCCACTGCCCTGATCCCTCAAGCCACCATCATCTCCTGCCAGGCAGCTGCAACCGTCTGTCTCATAATTGGTATCCCTGCCTCTACCTTTGCTCCTTACAATTCAGTAGCTACACAGCAGCCAGAACAATCTTTCAGAACAAATCAGACTTTATCTTCTCTCTGCTTAAAACCCTTCAATGGCCTCTAATTGTTCCTAAAGTAAAATCCAAACTCTTTATTATGACCTACAAAATCATTGTTTTGATTCATAGGTTCTTTTTTTTCCCCCCAAGATGGAGTCTTGCTCTGTCACCCAGGCTGGAGTGCAGTGATGTGATCTCGGTGCAACTCTGCCTTCCAGGTTCAGGCAATTCTCCTGCCTCAGTCTCCCAAGCAGCTGGGACTACAGACAGGTGTCATCACACCTGGCTAATTTTTGCATTTTTAGTAGAGACGGGGTTTCGCCATGTTGGCCAGGCCTCCCAAAGTGCTGGGATTACAGGCATGAGCCACTGTGCCCGGCCTGATCCACAGATTCTTATATGTAATCTGTCTCCTCTCTACCTTCACAGCACTTACCACTACTGAAATTATTTTGTCCACTTGTTTACTCACTTATTGTGTGACTTCCCTCCTCTTTAAAATGTCATCTCTAAGGAGGGCACAAACCGTGCCTGTCTTCACCACTAAACCCCAGTACTTGGAATGGTGCCTGGCACATAGTAAATGCTCACTACTGAATGAATGAATCTTCATCCCATAGAGGTGATTTGCATTTACAAGGGAGGACCATGAACTCCACCAGCAAACCATGAATGACACATTGGCATTTAACAACCAGCACCTTTATTTACGATCCAAAGCCCTACTTTAAATCTGAAGAAGCTGCTGGTATCTCTGGACACTTTAATGACACAAGAGATCAGTTATCACTTGGGGACACACGCCAGGAACTGGAGCCCAGTGGTTGTAGCAGGGAGCTAAGAGCCAAGGCTCCTGAAAACAAAACCTCAAGACAAACCCTGACTTGCCTCCAGGTCCCTTACCCACACACCCTGTGCCTCAATTTACTCAGCAGTTGGCCAAACATGTTTCTCTCAGTTCTGTGAGTGACAGGAGACAAAATAATTAACAGCTGGAGCATACTGAGATCCTCAGATAGGAGGTGCTGCAAGCCACACGTCTCATTATTCATAAAACTCTTGATTTGCTGCCAACACGGCCCCCTCCTCCTTCCCAGGGGCTATCCTGACGACAGGCGCTGCTCAGACAAGTTCAGCTCACAAGAGGGAGGGATGGAGGGCCTAGCAGAGGCTGGGTGTCCAGACCTGGGTGTCTAGGTTACCAGGTTTCAAAAAATGGTGGTTGGGGTGGGGTGATGAAAAGGAGGTGAGAGGTGCAGTTTGGGGCTCCAGGTGGTTAATTTTGCAGGTTGGTTCATACGCGCCCGCCATCCAGGTGAGACAAGTACCCCACCGGGTACCTTCCAGAAAGGCACACCGGGGAGGGGTGGAATCGGGAGACCACAGTTCAATCAAACTAGAGAGGGAGGAAGGGCGGCCCAGCATTTAGTTCGGGGAAATATGGAGTGAGAGTCTGGGAGTGGGCGCAGGTGAAGGAAGAAGCAGGAGCCCAGGGGCCGGGAGGGCGGACCGGCGATGACAGCCACCTGGCCGCGGCGAGGTGAGCAACAGGGTGGGCGGCGCAGACACCTGTGGAAGCAACCCCCGGGCGAAGGTGAGGGAGGCAGGAGGTGCCCTGCGGCGGGAGGCGGCCAGGCCCAGACCAGGGCGCAGCGCTACCGGGGCGGGCCGGGGTCCGAGCAGGGTCGGGGGCGCTCTCCGCGGCCCCTCCCCGGTAGACAAAGGGCTGGCCGCTCCCCCGAGCCCCGGCGCGGCGCGGGCCGGAGCGCTGCAGACGCGGCCCGGCCTCGGCGCTTACCTGGGCCGTCTGACCCGGCCGGGCCGGCGGGGGCAGCGGGTCTGGGTAGCAGCGCGCGGCGGCCTGTTCCGGGGCGTGCTCAGCTCGAGCAGCCGCAGCGGCGGCGGTGGCGGCGGCGGCAGCAGCAGCAGCAGCAGCAGGAGCGGCCGCCTCAGCCTCCGCCTCCCGCTCCGAGAGTCACCGCGGTGGGGAGGGAGGGAGGGAGGCGCCAGGCCGCCGGGGGAGGGACCGGCGGAGGGAGCGGCATCTGGCTCCGCGCGGGCTGCTGAGGCGCGGCGGCGGCAACGCCCGGGAGGGAGGCGGGCGCGGAGGGGGGCGGGCTCCGGGGGCGGGGAATGTGGGCGGGGCGGGGTCCGGGGCTACGCATTGGTTAACTCAGCATGTGGGTGGGGCTACACGTTGTGGGGCGGAGTCAAGTTCTGCGCGTGTGAGCGCTCACTGGGCTCTTCTGGAAGGGGGCTTGACAAGAGTCATAGGGGCTGGGCCATGAGGTGGGCAGATGGAACAGGGCGCGGATAGTGGCGGAGTCCGCGCTGAGAGCAAAGGGGAGGAGCGGGCCGGGAGTGGGCAGGGAAGGCGGGGCGGGCGCGGGGAGGAGGCGGTGTCCTGGAGGAGGAGCAGGGTAAGGATGGAGCTAGCGCTGCGGTAAAGCCACGCTGCGTGTCCCTATCTGCTCCAGGAGCACACTGATCCCGTAAAAATAATGGCCTCTCCCACACACTGGCCTGTGTTTAAAAACGGGAGCAACTAGACGGGGGCAGAATCCTTGGTGAGACCAGTTTGCCAAGAACCCCGGAAAATTCTGAAATGGACAAGGTTGCAGAACGTTTAGAGGCGTGGTCTTCCTGCGTTGTTGAGCTGGGAACATTGCTACCTCTGAGTTTGAGGCCTAACCTGGGATTAACCGAGCCCAGAGCCCAGGGATGGGCCTCCGTGCGTCCATTAAACTGAGAAGGTCGTGTGTACTGGTAGTGGGTGCATTTTTTGGCGTAAGGGTGCCCATTAAAATGTTTCTACAGAAAGTTTGGCTCTATTTGGAGAGAGTACAGGGAGAAGCAGCCCATTTTAGGTAAAATGCAAATTGATTTTAACATCCGCCTTATTTTTAAAGGGACCTGTATCTTTCAGTGTGGTCGCATTTTCAGCAGTTTAAACTACCAGTTACACAGTGTGACTAACCCTCGTTCAGAAGCCCTCCTACCCCACTCTTCCCACAGCCTTTCTTTTTACACCTTTTCTGTTCCATCCTCCTCCACTCTGCTATATTTCTTCCCCTTCCCTATGCAAGAAGAATACGAAATACTTTTTTTTAAAGTTTATAATATCCACATTACTCTTTACTCATTTGGTTGTTTTTGTTTTTGTTTTTTGAGACGGAGTCTTGCTCTGTCACCCAGGCTGGAGTGCAGTGGCGACATCTTGGCTCACTGCAACCTCCGCCTCTGGGGTTCAAGCGATTCTCCTGCCTCAGCCTCCCGAGTGGCTGGGACTACAGGCACGTGTCACCACGCCTGGCTAATTTTTGTATTTTTAGTAGAGATAGGCTTTCACCATGTTGGGCAGTCTGATCTCAAACTCCTGACCTCAAGTCATCCACCCACCTCGACCTCCCAAAGTGCTGGGATTACAGGCGTGAGCCACCACGCGTGGCCTGCTCACACCTTTTCCTACTTAATAGGTCCCAAAGTGGGTCTCTCCTCCAATGTCCCCACCCTCAGTAACTGGTACCACTCTCTACCCAGTTGCTTACACCAGACACTTAAAGTGTACCATTGACACCGTTATTTTTTTCTTCATTTCCAGTCCGTGTTGTTTCCAATTCTAAATGATATCCTTAACCTCTCCACCTCCTACTATCTCTACTCCTCTTTCCCATTTTAACCTGCCAACAGCTGTCACCTTGACTCCTGCAATAACCCTTCAAGCAGTCTCTCCTTTAGGCTCTCCTTACACCACCCATCCATTGCCCACACAGCAACTGGAGGAATCTTCAAATGCACCCATCTTGTTAGACCTATGCTATTCAACAATTTCTCTTCATTTTCTCGAGGAAAATTCAAATTCAAAGCGTGGCAACAAGGCCTTGCGGGATCTAGCTTCAGCCTGATCTTGAACCACTTTTGCCAACTGGGCTGTAGCCACACTTGGGACTTCTCCCTGTGCCTTGATCACAGGCAGCTCTTTTGTGCTTCAGATCTTCTGATTGTACAGTTCCCCTGGCCTCGGTGGCTCTTCTCCCATTTCTCCCCACTTCACCTGCCTGAATATTTGCTCTTCTTTGTTTTTTTTTTTCCTTTTTTTTTTTTAATTGCATTTTAGGTTTTGGGGTACATGTGCAGAGCATGCAATACAGTTGCATAGGTACACACATGGCAATGTGTTTTGTTTGCTTTCTCCCCTTCACCCACATTTGGCAATTCTCCCCATATTTGCTCTTTAGGAAGACCTCTCAACCTGCACTAGCCCTAGTGCCACAACATGGCTATAAACTCCAGGAGGGCAAGGACCATCCCACCAAACACAATACCTGTATCCACAAATATTACTGCATGAACAACACGAATGAGTAAATATTGCTTCCAGGACTTTCCCTGCCATCCACCGGCCACTCCTAGTCTGCCACTCCCAGCCCCAGCTCCAGGGCTAACAGCCTTCTCCTCCTTACTTTTCTCTCACTGCATTTATAGTTTGATATTTTCTCCTTTCAGCTCTGGAGAGGGCCTCCGTGTGGTCCCAGAACATATATTACATATCTTTCTTTTTTTTGAGACAGAGTCTCACTCTGTTGCCCAGGCTGGAGTGCAGTCTCAAGATCTTGGGTCCCTGCAACCTCCACCTCCTGGATTCAAGCGATTCTCCTGCCTCAGCCTCCTGAGTAGCTGGGGTTACAGGCACCCGCCACCATGCCCAGCTAAGTTTTATATTTTTAGTAGAGACAGGGTTTCACCATGTTGGCCAGGGTGGTCTTGAACTCGTGACCTCAAGTGATCCATTGGCCTCAGCCTCCCAAAGTGCTGGGACTACAGCTGTGAGCCACCATGCCAGCCTATTATGTATCTTTAAATAGTTGCTTTCTGAAGCAAAAGTGAAAAAACTCTATTTTTTCTTTTTCTTTTTTTTTTTTGCGATAGAGTCTCATTGTTGCCAGGCTGGAGTACAGTGGTGTGATCTTGACTCACTGTAGCCTCCATCTCCTGCGTTCACGTGATTCTCCTGTCTCAGCCTTCCTAGAAACTGGGATTACAGACACGCACCACCATGCCCAGCTAATTTTTGTATTTTTAGTAGAGACAGGGTTTTATCATATTGGCCAGGCTGGTGTCAAACTCCTGACCTCAAGTGATCTGCCTGCCTTGGCCTCCTAAAGTGCTAGAATTACAGGTGTGAGCCACTGTGCCCAGCCAAAAAATTGTTTTCTTTTCTTTCCTTTTTTTTTTGAGACGGAGTTTCGCTCTTGTTACCCAGGCTAGAGTGCAATGCCACGATCTTGGCTCACCACAACCTCCGCCTCCTGGGTTCAGGCAATTCTCCTGCCTCAGCCTCCTGAGTAGCTGGGATTACAGGCACACGCCACCATGCCCAGCTAATTTTTTGTATTTTTAGTAGAGACGGGGTTTCACCATGTTGACCAAGATGGTCTCGATCTCTTGACCTCGTGATCCACCCGCCTCGGCCTCCCAAAGTGCTGGGATTACAGGCTTGAGCCACTGCACCTGGCCAAAAAATTGTTTTCTATAGCAAAGGCATAACTATAAAATTTTCAGGCCAAGTATGAAATAACAGTGCAATCAGGGCCGGGCACAGTGGCTCAAGCCTGTAATCCCAGCACTTTGGGAGGCCAAGGCTGGTGGATCACAAGGTCAAGAGATCGAGACCATCTTGGTCAACATGGTGAAACCCCGTCTCTACTAAAAATACAAAAAATTAGCTGGGCATGGTGGCGCGTACCTGTAATCCCAGCTACTCAGGAGGCTGAGGCAGGAGAATTGCCTGAACCCAGGAGGCGGAGGTTGCGGTGAGCCAAGATCGCGCCATTGCACTCCAGCCTAGGTAACAAGAGTGAAACTCCGTCTCAAAAAAAAAAAAAAAAAAAAGAAAAGAAATAAATAACAGTGCAATCATAGCAGGCTGCAGGGAAAGAGAACTATTTTTTATTTATTTAGAGATGGGGTCTCACCCTGTCACCCAGGCTGGAGTACAGTGGCATGGTCCTAGCTCACTGTAACCTAAACTCCCGGATTCAAGCGATTCTCCTGCCTCTGCCTCTGGAGCAGCTAGGATTGCAGGCATGTGCCACCATACCCAGCTAATTTTGTTTTTTAGAGATGGGGTTCACCATGTTGCCCAAGCAGCTCTCTTAACTCCTGGTCTCAATCAATCCTCCTGCCCTGGCCTCCCAAAGCACTAGGATTATAGGCAGAAGAGCTATTTTTAGGCATTTAGGGCTTTATGGCAACAATGGTCCTCAAATTTTACTCTATAAGAAGACCTTCTGCTTATAAGTTGAACCAATACCAGGTCAGAATGGGTAAATTAATAACTTCCAGTATTTAGAAAGTGAAAAAATGATATTTTCCTCTATTCTGTTTGCCATCCTGTTTGTATTTGGTATAGGTCTAACTTCTCTGAGGATAGACAATTAAAAGGAGGCCAAGTGCACAGCAGACAGAGTGTCACAGTCATGTGTCACCCTCCTGTGTTGTGCCTTGGCAAATACTTGTCATCTAATTTTACTTTAGAGATGATAAGGAATTATTAAACACAATGATGAAAGCATTTTGTAGATTGGTGAGTATACATATTTTGTGTCATGAGGGGGGTATGTGCAGCTGTGAACATCTGGCTCTCTGCCAGCGTGCCCCCCCCAGTATTGGTCTCTGTAGCATCTGATGAGTACATCCTCCTGACACCACAGAACCCTGCTTTCATGTATTTAGGAACAGTATAAAGAAATAATTATTCATTTCTTTGGCTGTTTTGATCAACCAACGTGTCTTCTAAGTGTATTTTGTCTGTAAGCCTGAAACATTCTAATTACCTAGTAAAGACAAAACAACATAAGACCTTGGTTTGGATCCATATACTCAGCAGACTCGCCTGTAAGCATAGCAGTCTATTTATCACCTTTTTTTCCTGTTGTTTATTGTCCAATGAAGGACCCAAAAAAATGACCATCCCTAAAAGCAAATAGCCTCTACCCTCTGGGAATAATTAAATAACTGTCTTCCCCCACTCTCACTGGCATATATCATTGCATTTTATAGCGATAGATGTTGCAATTCTA